GTATTTTTTATTATTTAATTATAAATCAAAATTTAAAAGCATTTATGAGTTATAAAAGTCTTATTGATTTTGTTTTATAAAAATAGAGTCTTAATAATTCATGGAGGCAATTATCTTAGTTAATTTAATATTTTATTTATTATTAAATATTAAAGATTAGTTATTGAGACCAATGTCTTCATGAACTCTAAAATTGTCATTGCTATAGAAAGCTCTTATGTTATATAAAATGATTCTTTAGAACTAGAGTCTCATACCTTCATCTACTTAATTCTATTACAAATCTTTTCTTCTTTGACTTGTTGTTGTTTAAATACTTGCAACTTCTTTGCCATTACACTCAATTGACCATTGTGATATTAGATGTATTCTTGCTTAAAAATACATTAGATACCTAACTATGGAAGGTACGTAATAATGCAACAATAATTCTACCAAATCTAATAGAGTCTTAAATAAACTTCAAGTAATTCCAAATAATCCAATTAAACATTAACTTGTCAAAATAAATTTAATAAAAGTCACAAAATAAATACAAAGAATCCTAAAGAAATACTAAATATAAAATTTTAAAGATAATTTTAATTAAAACCCTAATTGAATCTGAATCAAAATTTAAGTCAAATCCAAATTAAAATCCTAATTGTACCTTAAAAAAATCTTAGGTCAAACCCTAATGAAATTTTAATGAAATTCTAAATTCTAAAAAAATCCTAGATAAGTTCTAAATCAAATCTTAAATAAATCCAAATCTTAATCAAAGCTTAGACCAAATCCTAAACCAAATCCTAATTAAATCCTAGATCTTAAACAAATTCTTAAAAAATCCTATAACAAAATAGAATCTCAATAACTAATGATTAAACCATTGATATTAATTCAAAATTTGTACAATTTTTAATGTCTTAATTAGAAAGAAGCACAAAAAAGATGAAATCAATTATACTTATCAATTGAGAAAAATATAAGATAATCCAATCGGATGTTAGGTAATCTTCTACTCTAACTTGAATGCTAACTTCTAGTGCCAATATCTCCTTTTTGAAGCATTAAATTGCTCTTAAATTTCACCAAAATATTAAAAATCAAGTCTAGTATCCATATAAAATATTTACTTTAATCTAATTCATAGATTGTTAAAGATCTTAGAAACATTCACTAATCCTTAAACTTCAATTTTTGAGACCTCAATCCACAAAAATATTTATATACATCAATCTAATTATTCAATTGACCTCAAAATTTGCATACAGATTTATAATTAGTACAAAAATACTCTGCTTAAATTTCACTTATACACACACAATAGAATTCAAGAAATCTTCAAATTTATAAACAAATATTTATTTTTAAAATCCTAATTCCATCAAGAATATCTTTAATTTTAAAAATCTCTCAAAATCTCAATACTAATCCAAAGAACATAAAATTAAAGCCTAAAAAATTCTTTTAAAGTCTACTATTGTCAAGGATATGAATCTCAAAGAAAGAGAATCCTCAATACACTCTTCTATCACTGAAGAGAACTAGAAAGTCACTCAGAAGGTGATGTAATATTAACTAGAATGGCTATTGCCAAAAACAAGAAGACTAGAAAGTCTTGAAACAAGACTAAGACTAGAAAGGCATTGACAAGAGTGAAGAAGGCTTCACTCTTGCCTCCATGTATACTATCTAACTAAGAGCTACGTGGTGATGTCCTATAGGACCTCTAACATGTGTTGACTTTGCTAGCTACATGTCTTATCTTGCAAGGCAAGTTATCTATGTATGTGCCACGTAGTTGGCTTGTTCCACAAGCTACTATACGGAGATAACTTGTTCCAGAAGCTACCAATATATGGTAGGTTTTTTGGCCAAGTTTCTAACCTACAAACACATCTAAAATCAAAACCGCATCTATAAAGCTTCTAGGAAGCTTCCCTAGAAGACTTTATAAAATTATTCTATATTTATCTACTTCTACTTAATCATATAAGTAACTATTGAGGTAAATGTATATGTCCATGACAATTATCAAAATATACTCTCTAATCTACAAAAGAATCCCAAAATCACCATAAGTGTGTGGTTTTTTGCCTCAAGATCTCATTCAATCTAGGTTGACAATTGGTCCTCTCTAAGTATCAATTCTTGACTTCTTGAGGTAAATTCTACTAAAATCTACTCTTAACTTCTTCTTACACATGCTTATATCATTTAATTTTCCAATCTACTTTGTTTTGTCTTATTTATAGTATTACAAAGTAAGTAGAAGTCTATTTTGTAAAAAGATAGCATTAATATTTTTTAATTTACTATCTTTTTGACTATTATCTATATTTCTAAGATAATTTGTTACAATATTTTAAAGTCAGATCTTTTATAATATATATATATATATATATATATATGTATTTTTCTTTCTTTCTTTCTTTCATTTATTAATCATGCTACATCACAACACTATATAATTTGAAGTTGAGAGGGTCTAAATATAGCTAAATTATGGTTTTTGAAAGTTGTTGATGCCAATGTACTTCCTTGTGCCAAAACTACTATACTTTTTGGATGTAGTATCTTTGATAAAAATTAACTACCTTACACAATTTATTGAATAAATTAAACAAAAGATAGCCAACTCAAAACTATTTTACTTGCCTTTGTACCATTATATCATTAAGATGTGTTGCACTCATTTTAAAATAAGAGGTTCTTTGAAGTTGGGCTTTGAGCTGAACTAAGCAAATTACTAGTAAGTGGTCATCAAATATACAATCTCTTTATATGGAATATTTTATTATTAAATATAATCCAATACTTTTTTATTCAAAAGTATACATTATATTTAATTGGACTTTAATGCAAGCCCCATCCTTGCAGTGGTTATGCCAAAAATACTTAATTCTATTTGTATAAGAGAACCTATTATTGATCTATATTGCCTTAAAGAAAATTGCAAAGACCCTTTTTTTGCCTGCTTGCATTATTTTGCTTCAATGCAAAGATTTATCTTATTTCTTTTTGATAAAATTCCAATCTCCACAAAAGAGCCAATGGTAATGTAATCCTACTGCAAAATGTATAGTTGTATTATATCTAGCAACATGAGAAATAATGTGTCTTTAGATTGTAAGTATGTTGGTCAAAATTTTATGGAGTAACAATGGCATAGATGCGGTAAGTTATAAATTGTCATATTATGTTGTATTAGTCATACAATTCATTCAATTTGTTTAAGCATTTCAATAGCTAATTTCTTACTATTTGTTGACTCAACTATTATCTTTGTTATCTCTTAAAAAAATCAAAAGAAGAAAAGATCTAAGTAGCTATCTAATACATATGATATTATGATTAGATCATTTTAGTTCCTATGAGAAGAGATTAAAGTTGTTACATGGTATGCATTGAAAAACATTGTTGTTGATAATGTGGTTCAATATATATCGTTCATTCTCAATCAAATCAACCATTAGACTAAACTTCAATATCTACTACTTCATACTTTGAAAGAAGTGAGATTTTTTTTCTTGTTCAATATTTTTTCTATTAATATAAGTTTATGTTTAAGTCATAAGGCTATTTGTTGACTTAAACTTAAACTATATTGATTCTAAAATTGTGCATTGTAAGTTATAGCATGTCAAGCTATGGATGGTGAAGCAAAAGAAAAAATGGATTTGCAAAATGCTGATATTCAAAAGATTTTGAACAATGCAGTTCTATTGGCATAGATTGTATTTGGGATCAATGTGTTGTTATACTAAATATGGGAATTTGCAATTAGACTGGACATGCAAAAGTGGAGTTTAAGTGGACTGAATATGGTGATCTGGAGAATATGCAAGTATACCTACAGATCTTTCTACAATGTATCTGCACAGCGATGAAGACACAGGTGGCAAGTTGTGAGATAATGATAAGCTTGTAAACAAGTCCAGCGCGTCTAAGCAAGATTAAGCGGACCATGATGGCATGAATGTTGGGCGCCAGATTCATGATCGCTAAGGTTCGAATTCGAGACACTTCGATGTTGCAGGCAGTGGATCCGTCGATTTCAGTAGGGAGGTCGAGGCGGTGGTGACATCCCTGGAGTATGTACCCTTCCAAGTTGAGGCAGGGACCGATTTGGAACAGCTAGGTGCCGTGAGGACGATTCTCGTTCAGAGTACTGTAACCCGAAGGCTATGCTGAGAAATACGAACGACACATCCAGAGGCAACGACAACGCACTCTTAGTCCCGCTAAACAGTGATATTATAGTATACGCCAGAAACGCGATCAACGTAGTGCAGTGCTCAAAGGTGGTCAATCTGTTTAGAAAAGGCACCATCTACAATGGCATGAAATTTGATGGAGACGCCCAGCGCATAGAAGATTGCCACTGAAATGAACGTCACCATAGCATAAAGCTCGATATAATTCCCTCAATTTAGCAGGCAATTCGCGTAATGCCAAGCCCTACCGACGCACTCTCTTGGCAACTTGACATAGCTCGGCGACATTCGTCTTTTCTAGCTTCCACTGACCGTTCGCAACGTGCTCCAGAGCCAAAAAAGTTCTCTAAAACCCTGAGATGCGGGCTCGTCTTGGTGTAATTTCTAGTTTGACAACGACTATCACGGGGAAAGGAAGACATGCAAGCATCCACCTCAAATCTAGGTTTGTCCCTAAATTTCTACGCACCGGCTGCGCCAATTGCTACCAACGTAGAAATCATCCTACCTTTCAGAAAATGAATTGTCGTCATGGGGGAGACAGCTTGTGAATGGTGGGGATGGCTGATCACATGTATGGTATTGTGTCGTGAAAGCCCACGTTTCATGGGTTCCCAGACAGGCTACTTAATTAAAGTAGCTGTTTCAATCGCTCGGCAATCACTATCCGTAAAAAAAATTATTTTTTAAGTACTGAAGAAAGGCTTAGTAACTCTCTCTTAAAGACTGATTTAGAATTTCTCTTACGCTGCTATTGTGACCATGAGCATGCCAACCTCTGGCTGTGAACTTCATAGGGTGAACAACAAAGTGAATGGAAGGCAACCATTGTTTAAACATGGGGGAAAAAATTGATTGTGCCACTACAAAGAGGGAGCCAAAAAAAAATCCTCCAAAACTAGCTGAGAACGTATCAGTTTATCGTACTACCTAAAGCACCCAGTATGTTCATTTCCAGAGTTCCTCCATTGGGATACCACGGTCCCTAGCTACATCCCTGAACTGTTTCATCTTTCCAACAGCTTCGACGACAGCTCTGGCATTATTGAGGGGGTTCTTGCTTCCAAGCTCCTTACCTAAAGCATTCTCCACTCCTGCCAACTCAAGCACCACACGCACAGCACCTCCAGCAATAACTCCTGTGCCTGTAGCTGCAGGCCTGAGCATCACCTTGGCAGCTCCGTAATCTCCATCCGCTCTGCACGAATGTCAAGAAATGCACGCTGAGACATTCTGCCTCAAAGTTGCTGAACTGGGAACTACGTGTTCAGGGACAAACAATGTATTTTGCAGATGTGTTGTAGAAACAATCTCGTTTCACGTAGACATGTCTCAGTTGATCTTCTATTAATCTAGACTTCAACATCTGGAAGGCTACAAACCGTCTACTTTTGTCGTTACACAGAGGACGAGTAGAACAGTGACAGTGATCAGCGTATTTAAGCTTTAGGACCTGATCAGTGATTAAACTGATGTGGTAACCCTCACAGCAACCACTGGACTGAAGGATGGGGCTTAATCAATCATGAAAAATGCTGGGGTTACAAAAAAATGTTTACTTAAGAAAACGCTTATATGGTACATGAATCTAGTAAGGCCATTCAAAGGGTTCAAACCCAATGATATATAACCCGTCGGAAAATTGACATTAACTTGTCGTCGTAAATCATTTGCTCACATAAATCATACCAATGGAACAAGATTGGTAGTGGTGGGGAAGAATGTACCTGTGTGGGAAAGTCAGGTACTTGGTCATGGGCACGGTAACCAAGTGGCGTCTGGCGTCAGTGGCCGACTTCTGCACGGCAGTAATGACCTCCTTCGCCGATCCAACTCCCACACCAACTGTCCCCTTCTTATCACCTATAACGACTACAGCACGGAAAGACATCTGCTTGCCTCCCTTCACCACCTTGGTAACTCGACGAATTTGTACCACTCTCTCTTCCATTTTATCCTCGGAGTTTTTGCTACCCCGGCGATCTCCACCACGCTTGCCCCGTGAATCATCGCTAAGATTCTCATCGCCGCTTGAGCCTTTACTCAACCCCTCGAACGCCTTTCCATACAAGGCTTCATACGCAGCGGTAATGTCCTCTTCAGCCTCCTCTTCCTCGTCGTCATCATATGCGGCCACTGCATTAAGGCCCCCCACCTTGACCCACTTAGTAGGGATTACTTTTTGCAATTTTATCCCCCACATGGCACTGTTCAGACTGATGACCGGAGCTGCACTTCTTGCGAGAACGCCACATACTCTAGGGCTTGCTTCTAGCTGCAAACCCAAAAAAATCCAGATAAGTTAGTAGTAGAAAAAAAGTATCAATACATTTGAAGGTAAACTAAATACTTCCAAGCCCTAAGGAAGAATTTTAAAAACTATATCCAGGCCTCGAATTCCTGTGCAAACCGATTTAAAATCCAGTTGGGTTTAACTACAATGCCAGACAATTCAGTTATCTACTGCATGAGGGTAAGAAAAACCAATCGTAAGAAGTAGAATTGTAATTACTGATGGCAAGTAATTGGTACTATAAGGGTTAAGGCAATTGCATTCAAGCAGATGACCAACAGATTCAAAAGTTCTTGAGAGCCGGCATGAAATGAGGTACTTACAGCGGCCGAAGTAGGTGAGCATGAAGGGACTGCCATTGAAGGTGCGGCAGCCATCCTGTTCGCTAGCATAGCATTAGATGCCATATTTAACTAGGGCACTCTACATACAATCCTCTGCACATAATCATCTTAATCAGAACATCCTTCTGTATGCTCATAACCAAATACAATCCTGGCTTGTGTATTGGTCGAAACGAATGGACGTAACACATCAATTACGTCAAAGCATTTGTGAGACATGAACCGGGGTGTAAGCCACTCCAGCCAGTAAGATATTTGCACACCAGATCTGCAGCTCAGGATAATCTAAATCATACTTCATTGCTCCAAACAGCGAACCCGAACATCAAGCTTGGAGCCCAATGTCACAACACATTGAGAAACAAGCGTCGAAACGACTGCTAGTTTGGAATACCCTTCAATCAGCGAACAAAATGCAAAATCACCCACTGATACTTCGAGGGCAGCCAAGGACTGAGTAGCGAAACACGGACAACGAACAACGAACAACGTAAAGGATGCAAACAACTAGAATGCTCAGCGAACGTCACCTACAGCCACCTACATCACTTCTACCGAAAATCATAACCACACCCAAAAATCCCCCCGCACGTAAACACTCCAAGTCAAGAATGACGCACCAAAAACCAAAGAAGAGCTCGCATTCTACCAACTGAATTGCTACAACTCCAGAGCTCAAACATTTAAATGAGCCAAAGAACCTGCCTTCGCGAGACTGAGTGACGCACCTCGGAGGCAGAAAGAGACCCAATTCGAGGAGAAGGGTGTTGTACCCCAGTAGCGGAGTTGAAGAGCTGTACAGAGTTGGACACTGAGCATCGACGATCGCTGGAGAGGGCAATCCCGGCGAAGGAGAAGGGGAGGAGTCTCGCGTTAGTGGTCGAGACATCCTTTGAATGGACCCTATTACCGAACGGCTTGAACCACGGAAGCGTCTGCCACCGCGTCACCAGCCTTGTCGCATGAACCCATTCCACATTTCCAGTGCAACGTTCCCAGTGGTTCGCTCATGAGGGAACGCTTCGGGATCGTTGTGAACGGCAAGTTGGAGCCTTATCCATTTTCATGGGTGTGCAGTTTTAGACTTCCCCCTTTTTGGAATGGTGACGTGGCGATGGATGGATGGATGTCGTTCGCAAAGTTTCTTCATTACTCTGTTTAAATACAAGAAATCTATTGAAAAAAAAAAAATTAGTCATAACATTTTTTTCTATATGTGCTCATTAAAAAAACTATTTGTAAGCTTTATAAAAGAAAATAAAAATTTGTTGTTATGAATATATATGTTACCTAAACAAATAAAAATATGTAGAGTTAGGTAAAAATATATTGCAAAGATAGTATCTTTTTTAGAAAATATCAAAGAAGTTTGCTAGATGTGGATTTGATCTATATATGTACTTTGTAACTAGAGTAACTTTTCAAAAAATAATATTAAAGTGTTTCACAACTTACACATTTGGATTATTAGCATTGTAGTCAATGAAAAGCTTTTACATTGTTTTCTTGCTAGATAGTATATATAGAGGCAATATTGAGGCAATTTTTAATCTTATTAATATATTTTTTATAATTCAATATTAATTTTAGGTTCTTTAGTATTTTGTAGTTAGTTATACTCATTCTAGTATATTCTTCTTGTATACATATGTTTGTTTTTTATAATCTTTATAATTTTTTTTTATTTTTAGTTTTATATGAGTACAATTGTTTTAAATTATTTATATTCATGTTTATAGTACTTGCAAATAAAGAATATAAATTAAGTTTTATTTCTATGTAAGATTTCAGATATATGATAAATATGGTGCATCCTGGGATATCTAAAGACAACTATAGATCCAACTTGTATATTTTAAAATCCTATAATGATTATTAAAAATAATATTTTTATATAATATATTTTTAAATATTTTAATTTACTTATATAATATAGAAATTTGTGAAAACAGAGATGATGAAATATTTTTATTAAAAAAATCCTATTATAATATGTTTCAATAACATAAGATTATTTATTCTTAAATTTTTTTAAAAGTGACTTTGGAAGTCAAATACTAGCTAAAATTAAATATTTTTTTTAAAATTTTAATCTAATCTATATGTGGTCTATTAATTTAATACATCTTTTTTTTTACACTTGATTAAGATTAAATATAATACAACTATCTTATTAAGTTGGATTTTTAAAATATACTAATCTTAAACAAGCTGAATTAGAAGGTTTTACAAGAATAAATTTTTAAGAAGAAAATGATAATAATATCTAAATAATACATGCATAACTTCATACCAATTTTTTTAAAATATTATAAATAAATAAAATTTTGAATATAATATAATCAATAATATTTTTTAATAAAATAATTTAAAATAAAATAATTATTGAGATAATAATATATTATGTTTTTTAAAAATAAAATTTTAAAAATATTATTTATTTAATATATTTCATCTTACATTATTTCCATTTCATATTTGAGAAATCTTTCAATTCTTTAAGTAATCAAAAGATTATGATTTAATTGTTCATTTTATCATATGTGTGGTAGATGAGATTTAATCAAACTTACTCTGTAGAATTTTGATAATAGAATTTCTACAATTAATTTTTGTTTTGAATATAATATAAAATTTTATGCTTTTATATTTATTTCTTAATTATTATATTTATACATAAATACCAAAATATAACCTTAAGATAATATATTGTTTCATAATAATATTTATATATATATATATATAAACATATACTATCAAATATTTTTGGTTTTAATAATATTATTAACTACCATCAAATTCTTATATTTTTTAATATTTTTAATTTAACTTAATTTTAAAATTTAATTATATATATATATTGAAATGCTAAATCAATTCCATCAATCATTATTTCAACCCATCCATCATTAAAATGATTAGAAATTAAATTATTATCTAATAATAGTAGCATTTATATAAATATTAAATTAAAAATTGAATTTTTAAGATTCAATATATCATAATAAATATCATTAGCTTCACAATTAGATTATTTATAGGCACTTATTTTATCAAAGATGTTTTATCAAAAACATTTTACCAATGTCTTTTGTATTATCTACTATAGCATTGCTAGTGATTGCATTGGCTCTTGACAAGATTGAATGCAATCCAAATTCATGTTACAATGCAGTATCTAATGCTCAAATCTTTATTCTAAGTTGTAGTAGTATTGCCAAGGTTGCATAATGTGACATTGAGATGTGTAAATTCCTGAAGGAGAAAAAATGTGGAATACTAAAAATATATTTTTTAAACAACAATGAAGACATTGACAAGAATTAATGTATTGCACATATATTGTAATTTTCCAAACAAAAACCTTAGATGAATGAATCATATAATAAATTGATAACTAATATATTGATCCATACTCTCACAGGTCATATGATCTTTACCACTTGTCTCTACTTTAGATCATTATCCCATGCAATAGGATCATGTTCTTGCATCCAATAGAGGTAAAAAAAATAATTTAGCACTTTTATATATCTAAGAAAAACAAAAAGAAAGAATAGAAGTATGAAAACAAGTATATACATGAACCTTCTTCTTTGTATGATACTCCAGCAAAGTCTTCTTATCTTTGCAAATCAATACCTTATGTTTACTTAAGCAATCAAATTTCTATAGTCAATTGCTTTAAGCATGCAATTCTTTAGCTATTAATCAAGCATGCAAGGAAGATGTGGCTGCCATGAATACTCTCAAACTAAATCAAGCTTTCAAATTAGAAATATTGGATTAAGCTAAGCTATGTATGGCTTCAATCCAATATTATAAACCAAAATTATATCCAAAATTTTATATCAAAGCAAGATTTGGTGGCCACAACATTGCTAAAGTGACTTGATAATGATTTTGGAATAGTGACTTGATCATTTTCACTATATCTTAGTCAATATCTACAATATTGATAATCCAATCAAATTAAGATTTCTTTCATGTCTACTTATTGACCAATATTCACAACCTTGTCAATTCAACAAGACTAGAATAATTATAATTCAACCAGATAAAAAGATAGAATAGTAGAAAATTAATTGTTCTAATTTTCTTCCTATTTTTCTTATCTTTTTTTATTAAAAAACCTAATATTAGATTCAAAAAAGAATAAAAAATCTCTTCTAATAACTTGAACATCATATTATTGTTGTTATTTTTTTCTATACTCTTATTATTTCCTACTATCTATTGTTAATTGTCTTGGATTCACAATCTTTAGAAGTTTTAGTGGCCAAAGAATAATGGTCTTTGGTACAATTGTGGTAGGTGATACAATTTGATGTTGGCTCATGGTGAGATAAAGGATAGAATTTAGTACTATTTCCAAGAAATAAGATGTGTGCTTAAGCAAGAGATGGTCTTTTACAAGATCTTGCTAATAAGAAGGCCTATTTAGATTTGCTAACTTGAAAGTTTTAAAGCAATTTTTATTGTTTATTGTAGTTGTCAAATTTGAACTATTCTACACATCATGTTTCTATGGATGTAATGTATTTATATACATATTTACCATAAATAGTCCAATTATAAAGCCAATGATATTTATTGTAATACATTATATCTTCAAAATCTAATTTCTAATTTAATATTTATATGGTCTTAAGAACATAAATCTTAAAGAAAAAAAAGATCAAGATACTTTTTGTCTCTTAAAAAGACTAGATAATCACTCAAATTTAATATAATATTTAATCATAAGAGTTGTTGCTAAAATTAAGAAGACTAAAATGACTTGAAATAAAACTCAACACTCAAAAGACATTGATAAGAGTAAAGAATGCTTTACTCTTGCTTCCATATATATTGTCTATCTAGGAATTATATAACAATGTTTTATAGGACCTCCAACATGTTTCCAAATTGTAAGGCACATGTTTTAACTTGGAAGGCAAGTTTTCTACATATGCACCACATACTTAGCTTATTTCACAAGCTATGAATACATGCAATATATGGCTAACTTGGTAACCAAGTTTCTAACCTATCAATCAACTATAAACATGAGAAAAATCAAAGCCACATCTATAAAGCTTCTCTACAAGATATTATAAAATTAATGCACTTTTATTTACTTCTATCTAATTATAGATCATTATTGAAATAAATATGTACGTGTATGATATTACCTCCCCTCCTAGGTATAAGTTTCACAAGGAGCAATCATCATATGTTGAAAAAAATTCAAGATGCAAAAAATTATGTTTACAACATAATTTGATATTTTTTTTTTGAAGATGGTTGATAGATCTTCTTAGCCACGACTGATATTTCATACCAAGGCAAGAAAACTACCTTATTATTTGATTGTTGTTGAGGCCTTCATGACTCTTTTCAAATAAAATATTTGAAACACCATCTAGAATTGTTCCTACCTCTAATAAAATCACCAAACATTAAGAGTCTCTTCTAAAAAAATGATACCAAACACATTATATCTCACCATCTATTCAAAGAAGAATATGCCATTTTTTAGGATCTTTGTCTTGACTATGTTATTTTAAAGATTATAATAATTGCAACGTCTTATCTAGTAAGTCAATAAATAATAGCTCTTGAATTGAATCTATTGGTTGTTGATTTTCTATGTCTTTAGTGCCACAAATTTTAGTGCCACAAAATTATCAATTTTTAAAAAGTCAAAAGTATCAAATCATGGATAATAATTATAATTAACAAAAAAAGATATCTATTGCATAAAAAGTATACCAAGTTATTATAAGCAAACTCTATCAATGGTAAAAGAGGTATCTAATCATCTTATTGGTAGTTGATTGGTCATTGTTAGGGACATAAATTTCAAAGAAAGGAAATCCTCAATACACTCTCGTGTCATTGAAGAAAAATAGAAAGTCATTC